TATATATATATATACATATATATATATATATATATATATATATATATATATATATATATATATATATATATATATATATATATATATATTATATATATATATATATATATATATATATATATATACATATATATTTATATATCATGCAGTATTGCAGCAAAAAAGAGATTCAACATTTCCATAAAAATGCGTAGCATATCATTGGAATTGGCGTAACCAATTCGAGCCGCTTCAATATTTGTTTTAACATTGAAGAGTTATTAGAAAAAGCATGTATTAATATCCTCAATAAGATCCTTAATTACACATACCATCCGATAACCAATGAACTAGTCCGCACTAATAGTAGAAACCCCAATAGATTTTCGTTTCCTTTTAATAACGCTAACACAACAACTTACTAACAATCCTTCATTCAAAAATATCTTCGTATTTTACGTGATGGAGTCAGTGATCTTTACCTGCCACGCAACATGGCAGCTAAGCTGCATTTTCAACACACAAGTAATCTGTTTAATAAACAGTGTTTATTTGCCTACGCTCTAGTGCTGCTACACTTCTTACTTTATTACCAATAGAGAAAATTGTACAATTCATTATTTGTGATGACAATCAATTTTAAATAAAGATTTATATAAGAAGGAAATATATATATATATATATATATATATATATATATATATATATATATATATATATATATATATATATATATATATATATATATATATATATATATATATATATATATATATATATATATATATTGGGGGGGGGGGGGCTAAACGCCCTAAATTTTGAAAATCAAAAGGCACTGTTTTTCATATGCTGTGGGTGCACTATGTGATCAATAAAAAACAAAATTCAATTCATTTGGAAAACTTTTAGACCCCGCTCAACGGGCTTAAAGATTACATTTTCACTATAAAAATTTGCATTTCGACAGGTTAAACACCCAAATTAAAATAAAGTAATAATCTTTTTTATCTGGTTTTGTAAATTTATGATCATTTAAAGCCTAATCTCGTTGTAATTTAATAAGATTTAGGCTACATACAAGCATTAAAAGGACTTAATTTTTGACCTAATTTCTTAAAAAAGACCTGGTTTCTACAACATTTTTAAAACTGCCGTTTGTTTTTTATATTAAGCTGGCGAATCTTTTAGGGGGGGAGAGGCTTTTTTTTTTTTTACTTTTTTTGACATAAACAAACTTTTAACAAATAACAACATTATATTAAATAAGATTATAGCTGTTGTGAGAGTTTAGGCAGGGGATGAGGATATGCCCTCCCCCCCATACACACACACACTTTTTCCATATTTTTTTAACGTAAAGTAACGGAGTCGCGATACCTGAATTATGTTTTTGTTTGTGTTTTGTTTAAGTTAAAAAATGACATCTATATAACAGTATGTAAAAAATATTGTTAATATTATTAACTTATTACATTACATTATTTAAAACAAAACGGGAAAAAATATCAGATCAAGCCAGGGTCAGGGCTTATATATATATATATATATATATATATATATATATATATATATATATATATATATATATATATATATATATATATATATATATATATATATATATATATATATATATATATATATATATATATATATACACATATATATATATATAGTTTAGTTACAACTTTTTTGGCTACATTAAAATTTTTTTAGTTTTTACAATAGTTACCATAGTTACGTTTTATAAAATAAATAATTACCATGATATTTTACAAAAGATTATACAAAAAGTGTGAAGTAATTAATAATAAACAAAATAGAAATATTTTACACCATTTAAAATAAGTAGTTTGTTTTCATCAAAAGATCAAATCTAAAATCCTTTGTTGGCTATAAATTTTTCTTTGTTCTAGTTGCAATGCTGGATACATTGGTGAAAACACAAGACACTACACAACAAAAATTTCAGAACACTTAAATTTAGATAAGGCTTTCCCATATTTGCAAATGTCTCAATTCATCGCAAAAATGCAAAAGTTCAACAAATCTTGATTTTGATTTTTTCCGTTATTGAAAGAGCTTTCTCCAAGTATGAGCTCAAAATTAAGGAAGGTATCCATATTGAGATGGAAAAACCTCTTTTTAACACACAATTAAAACCGTACACTATTACTATAACAATATAACTTCTCAATTATCTTTGTTTATTATTAATTATTTCACATCTTTTGTATAATCTTTTGTAAAATTTCATGGTTATTTATTTTATAAAATGTAACTATTGTAAAAACTATTGTAAAAACTATCAATTTTTTAATGTAGCCAAAAAAATTGTTTATATACAGAAATTATATTTAAATTTTGTAAACCTGATGATGTCAATTGATATTGATAAAATATGTTGTCAAAAAAGTTTTAAAAAAATTGTTATTTATTTAAAAATTATTCCGAAATTAGTGCTACTTAGACCATTTGGAAATTTAAATTAGTGCTATTTAGACCTTTAGGTCATCTTAGGGACAAAACTAAAAACTAAAAAATATTTTGAAAATTATGTTTTTTTTTTTAACCATATCAGATAGGAAATTAAAATGATTAACAACCAATATATAAATAATTTTTAGACCAAAAATATTAATTGTCAGATTTAAATATTAATTGTCAGTTTTAGGCATCCTTCTCAGTCCGATTGTGTATAAAAATATATCGAACTTCAGAGATGTGGTAGGGCTCTTTAAATTTTTTTTTTTTGCCGTTTTATATATTTACAGTAAAGACATATTACATTGACTGTCTAATCACCGAGCCCCGTTTACATATTGTCCGAGTTTATAAACAAAAAATAAAATATACAAAAACGTTAAAAAGTGCATAATTTTTGTCAAATAATAAAATTACTTTTATATTAAAAATTTAAGAATAAAGGAAGTTTTGTATACTAATACAAATATATTTGATACAAGTTTAACAATATATAGAGTAAAAGAGGGTAAAATGAAATAGCGGGTAAAACAAAATAGCTATGACAATGTTTTATTGTTGCACATTCTACATCCACTATATGTTGATATTTATTGCGATGTCAAAAGAGTTTGGCGCAAATTACTTCAACAGTTTTATGTAGAGACAAAGTTTAGCAACTTATCAAAAGAATATATCAGTCACCTGCAAAAAAAACTTTTCAGCTCTGGTGAAGTTTTTACACGTACCCAGATAGTCACTGGGTTTCAGAATACTGGCTTGTTTCCATTCAACATCAATAAAATCGATCAGTCACAGTTGCAAATTTCTAATACATTTGAAGCACCGAGATCTGAACCTGAGACTTCATCATCTCAACAGCCAGAATCTAGGATAGTGCCATCACCATATCTAGCACCAGGAACTACACTACCTCAGCCACTGCCCTCTGAATCTACACCAACAACATCTAGCATCAGCAAATTTCACATAGCATCAGCTCCAAAGTCATCTCTTTAAAACTTCAGCAAGAAAAATTATGGAATGTGACTATGTCAAACATGCATATCAAAACGATACGTAAAAGGCGCTGAGTTTTATTGTTACAAATTGAAAACTCAACTCAACCTCTAGTACCTCTAAACGGCTAAATATCATCACAAGAATAAAAAAGTTTATTTTATGTGATTGATTTTTTTAATTATTATTGATTGCTTTTTTTTTTTTTTAATAAAGTGTTGTTTTAATTACAATTATACATTATTTGCTGTTTTGATGTAAGTTTCAAATTTTATGATACTAGATGGAATTTTACCCGCCAGATTTGGACCAATCTCAAGAAAAAAAATGTTTAGTTTTTCAGCTAAGGTTTCTTTATCATAAACAACTTTTTCATCAATTAACAGTTTTTGTGGTATATTTTTTTAAATCGAAATATTTTTTCCAATTATTTCTTTGATTATATTCCAAGTTTTTTTTTGTACTTCCATTAGTTTTTTCCTATAGCTTTTCAAAATAAGATTTTTTTGAAAACTTTTTGTTTTTTTTTCAAACAAATTTTTGTAGTTTTTGTATATTATTTTATTATGATATGTTTTATGTCTTAGGTATTTTCATATAGTTTTTGTTTTTTCTTTGATGATTTGGTTAAACCTTTTTATCATCCACGGATTCGAAATAGACTTAGAATTTAAATTTTGTTAGATTAAAGGAAATGCCTTATTATATTGTTTCATAAGCATTATTTTCATTTTTTTGTTTTTTGTGGTTAGAAAGATAGGAAAATGATTACATAGTCGATTTTAATTATGCATGTTCTTACGTAGCAATTGTGAAAACTGTTTGTTATTAAATTATCGACTGATGTTGACGATGACTGAAATAATAACACCTCTTAATATCCAAGGTTTTATCTATCATATGTAAATTATACAATAGAAAAGTTTAATATTATTTAATTCATAATATATCGTAATTCCCTAAGGGACATGTGCATATCAAGTACACTGTTAAAAAAATATCGCGTTTTTTACGGAAATTTCCGGCAGCAGATTTTCCAAAAAGTTTCCGTTGTTTTACGGAAAAATAAAGTGGTGAAGGAAATTTCCGTACAAATTACGGAAAATATCTATCATCGTAATAACAGATATTTCCGTATTTAAACGGATATTTCCGATAACATGTGACTGATTTTTCTGTAAAATAACGGAAAATTTCTGGAAAATCTGCTGCCGGAAATTTCCGTTGAAAGCGCAAAATTTACTTTACAAAAAAACTCTTCTAAAAATGTATTCGTTAAACGATAAAAAAAAAATTAATAACATAAATAGATTCCGCAATTATTAATGTCATAAGTTGCTCTAAACATTGCATAAAAAAAAGTTAAATAAAAATTTATATATATATATATATATATATATATATATATATATATATATATATATATATATATATATATATATATATATATATATATATATATATATATATATATATATATATATATATATAGATATTATATATATGCTTTTAGAACAAATAACTGTTATCTTTCTTTCTTTTTGCGTTTTTTCTCGCATTCTCTTGATTATAGCCAAACATATCTCTAAACACAAAATGAATTACATAATCATGACATAGATAATAAACTAAAATCTGTGAAATTAAGAAAGATAAGCATATATTGTGAGCCTTCTTTTACTTTTTGCATAAGCTTATTTTTTCTTTTTAAGCTTACATATTATAGTATAAGCTTTCGCATAAGCATTTTTTGAAGATTTTATATGCTTATAATATAAACTTTAGCTGCTTTGAAAAATTTGTTTTTACCTTAAAATCAACACCAGTAGTCTATTAACATTATGATCGTATCTTGTGTTCTTGATATGGTGGACCATAAATAAATTCATCAAATGGTAGACCACAAGCAAAATTATCAGTTTAAAAATAACAATAAAAACATTATTAATATAATATAATAAAAATTAGTTTAAAAAAATTAAACGAACTCTTTAACTTTTTATTAAAATATAAATATTATTATTACATTTATATATATATATATATATATATATATATATATATATATATATATATATATATATATATATATATATATATATATATATATATATATATATATATATATATATATATATAAATAGCTTTACTATTTTTCTCTCTACATAGTATCCAGATTCAATACAATGCTTTTTCAGTGCTTCCAGATTCCATATTTATACTTTATGCTTTGTGGATTTTAACTTTTTAAACTTTCCATATTATAGCTAACCATATACCTAACAACACAAATATAAATGCTTTAATACAAATGAGTGAAATAACAAATGAAAATATAAATACAGCAAAATCACGAATACAAATGAAAATATGAATACAGCAAAATTGTAAATCTTTGTCCGGAGTTTAAGACATTCAATTCTTAAAACAAAAAATATATTGCTTGTTTTAAGAAATAAACTTCCTATCCTGCAATTTATTTCTTAAAACAAGAAATATATTTCTTAAACTATAAACACTAGATTAACAATATTGCTGTAAATCTTAAAGCAAGAAAAAAATTTCCTACACTGTAATTTATTTCTTAAAACAAGTAATATATTTCTTGTTTTAAGAAACAAATTGGGGGATAAGAAATTTATTTCTTAAACAAGATAAATATTTCTTGTTTATAGAACTAAATGTCTTAAAATATGGACTAAGATTTAAGATTTTGCTGTGAAGAAATGCTACTTGTAATACTTTTCATCAGTTAAAGATTTATTGTTCAAGATTTTTTTTTTTTTTTTTTAATTATATTTCACCTCCTCAAGGCCGAGAAGGCCACTACAGACGAGGAGGCTACTTATTTTGTGGCTATAACCCTCTCTCAACTCTATAACTCCGAAACACGAACCTTGACGAACAAGGCCGCTGCGCAGAGAAACGAGTTGAGCGCGGTACTACCAGGGACGTGGTGGGGATCTTTTTTATTAGTTAAATCTTATGGATTACTTGGCATTAATTAGAAACTGTTTTAAAATATCTTTTTTCTTCTTAAATTTTTTTTTCACATTACTTTGTTAGAACTTCAATGAAAAAAAAAAATTTTTTCTAAAAAGAAAATATATACTTTTATCTCTTTTTCTTTACGTATGAATGTATCTACATATAGAGTATGCAGTGACTCCTGCATCAGCACAATTTGCTCATTTCCAATTAACTCTAATTGATTCCATAGGCAATCATATATCCTGCAATTGAAGTGCACGCAGATGGTTTCAGAAAATAGAGAGTGTGATATTTCATATATTGCTATCAGATCTAGATAACATTGTTTTATTTTATGTTGCAGATTTTAAAATATTTTAAGATATTGTTAAAAACATTTCATATTTTTAAATTTTGCTTAATTATATCTTTAACTATAAATACTAATATATAAATAATTGTGCAGTTGAAATAAATTTTTGGGATAAAATATCTAAAACACTAAAACATTAAATAAGAAAGAAATATAAGATGCAATTTTGAAATAACAAGTAAAACATTCCCAAATTTTATTTATATAAAAATATATAGTTTATACACACACATATAATATATGTGTGCATAAACTATGTTTTTTATATAAATATATATGCATATATGTATATACTATATGTATGTATGTATGTATGTATGTATGTATGTATGTATGTATGTATGTATGTATGTATGTATGTATGTATGTATGTATGTATGTATGTATGTATGTATGTATGTATGTATGTATGTATGTATGTATGTATGTATGTATGTATGTATCTATATATATATATATATATATATATATATATATATATATATATATATATATATATATATATATATATATATATATATATATATATATATATATATATATATATATATATATAAAAGGTTAGCAAACTAAGCTAAGATCTTAGGATGATGTTTACATTTGATAAGTTCTACAAAAATAAATGTACTATAAAACCATCATTTAAAGTAATAAATCTCAAAATCACTTTAGTAAATAAATAAATACTTCATAGCATTTACTCTACAAGAGATATGCATACTAAAATACGAAGAACATTCAAGCCTTACACCTACAACTTAAATTTATTATATTATATACTAAATGACTAAATACTTTTCTAACTAAAAATGCATCATATTTTCATTTCTGGAAGTTATTCTGATACACCGAAGCACTTGAATTTTGAGAAAAATATTAAATATAAATCCAGAATGGTTTAACAACAATAGACAAAACAAACAATACCTTTAAAGCAATAACTTAAGGCCTTCACGTTTTATTTATTTGTTGGAAATTACCATTTTTATTTTTAATCCATACTATAGAGCATCACTTGATTCTATAGTATCAACAATAACTTACTATATATAGCCTTTTTACAATGTTGGACTGCTAGAAATAAGGTTTACGTTCAAAATCTTTTAGTGAACTGATCAAAACTGTATGTTTTGTATTTAAATTGTATGTAAAACTGATTTAGTTTTACATACAATTTTCAAAATCTTTTAGTAAACTGATCAAACTTTTTCTAAAAACAATCAGAAATAATGAAGAAAAATGATAGCAGATGTATTTATTTTATATAGAATTTTACTATTGTGCATGACTACCCTGCATGAATATTATAAACAAATAAATTTAATAATGTATTCTAATCATAGTTGTAATTTCTGGGGTAATCTTTATAAATTTGTTTTTAAATTTTTTTTTTTTAATATTTACTTGTAGATAACTTAAATATCTTATTTATAAAGATATTGTAATTAAATATTAATAAAAATGTAAATTGTTATAAAAAGTTTTTAAAACGATGAGAAATTCATCGATCTTATCATACAAAAGCACTAGTGCTTAAGTAGTGCTATTTTAAAATTTATTTATTTTAAGCTACATATTTTAACATGTGAACTTTTTTTCCTTGGCTTTGAAATGATCCATTTTATATATAACATGTTATGTGAGTGTTTTTCCATAAATTTAAAATCACTCAAAATTGAACTAAGAATGCACAAGTTTTGTGTCAAGAACCCTACTAAACATAGTCTCGTTCTAAGCAACTCAGGGACCAAATAAAGCTCATGTAATTTTAAAACTAAAAAGAACAGAACAGTTTATATTAAAATGCCTGGTGAACTTTCTTCGCCCTGCAGGTGAAACTTCAGAACTTATTTTTGGAGATAAATACGTACATAAAAATAACTTTTAAAAATCTTCAACATGTATTTTCTTTATAAATACAACGGAAATTTCCGTATTTGAAAATTTAGCTACAAATACGGAAAATTTCCGTACATAATCGATGGATACATCCATATATGGACATACGGATATTTTCCGTTGAAATAACGGAATAAATTTCCGTTTTTTTAAAGGAAACTTTTAACAGTGTAGTAGATATATATATAAATTATAAAACAACACAACTTTATAAATAATTATTTATGACAATGTTTTTGTTAATCTTGTTGCCTTATCTAACGTTGGAATAAAACTATATTGCAAAAACGTGTCAATAAAGCATTTAGCATCATTTATTGAATTTTAACAAAAATTAACTTAGAAAGCCAACATTTTTTTATATATTTCATATTGACTAATTATCAATGGTAGGGTAGGACCAGAAAGAAAATTTGTGGGTTTTTATTTAAAATGACCTGCAGAAAGTGATAAAAACCCGGATATTTGTATAAAATGGTACATTAGTATGTATAACTGACGCTGGTCTGTTTTTAATATTTTGATTTAATTCTGAAAATTATTAACGGGCTTAAGCATTATTAGCCTTTATATAAAAGGGAGTATGTCAATGGCTGCCCACCCCCGTCAGTTTATTATAGGGGGTATAGCCCCTATTAGTAGTGGGATGCCCTCCAAAACTATTTAAATTTCATTACAAATTATATTAATTAAAACCACACTACTTTCTTTAGTAAAAAATACATTATTTTCATTGACTGTTGCTTTCAAACAATAATACCTATGTTTTCTTGAATTAAGAACTTGTTTTAGATTGCCAGAAGTTCATTGAGCAGTTGTTGTGGAGCTAAAGATTCTAATGAAATAAAAAAGCTTACAAACAATAGCTTATACTAGACAAAACCTTTTAGTTCCATATTTAAAAAAATTAACTCTTCTCAAAGATAAAAGTATTCTTTTCTGACTAAGTTAAATGATATTACTTGGAGAAGTATTCTTGCCTGGTACAACTGTTGATGTTTCTTTCTCAGTTTCAATAGAATCAGATACAGCCATCGTTCTCAAATTTTCATGACGAGCTCCAGAAGTGCACAGATGTGGAAGGCTCTTAACAAGAACTTACAAGCATTTAACACAATGCTTTTCAACTGCCTTATCAGGTTTAGCTGGCATACTCTTGGAGTTGCTCAAATGATGTTTTTCATAGGACTTCATTTTGCCAATTTGATAAATTAGGCGGTCACATGTTGTTGTCAGTCTTTTCGGTGACTTTATTATAATTGATTTAAAATTAAAAAGCTGAGGAACAGTCTTTGGCTGTCCTCTTTCCAGATTCCTATGTTGAATTCTACTTTTGTCACATATCACAAACTTGAAGAAACATTTTCGGAAACTGAAGTCATAGCAATATCTTTGACAAAATCCTTGGCTAACTGTGATTTCATTATTTGAACCTGGCTAAGCGAAATCAAAAGAACATCTTGAGTCTAAGCTGGTATTTACACCACTGAAGATTTCTGAAGAAAACTTAAGCTTTGTAAACAAATTATCTGTTCAGCTCTATGTACAAAGGAGGTTTAATAAACAGAAGATGGTCTCACGTGACTTTTTTAAAGCCTATTTTTAAAACGGCCGCCATCTTGTTTAACCCAAAACATTTCGCGGAACTTAGAAGTTTACTAAAAAATTAATTAAATTCTAGTAAAAAGATTGCACCAAATTAAAGAATTATTCCTCAGTTTATGTTTGGCATATATTTTATATATATATATATATATATACATACATATATATATATATATATATATATATATATATATATATATATATATATATATATATATATATATATATATATATATATATATATACATATATATATATATATATATATACATATATGTATATATATACATATATATATATATATATATATATATATATATATATACATATATATATATATATATATATATATATATATATATATATATATATATATATATATATATATATATATATATATATATATATATATTTATTAAATAATTC